TGTAGTAGTTGTAGTAGTTGTAGTAGTAGTAGTAGTATGACAAAAATTATTTTTAAAATGATGATGGCGACTACGATGATGCTGATGACGATGTTTCAGTAGTTGTGTTACACTCTATCCATTCTATCCTTCCGCATTTCAAGCAACTCCCAACTCTTTCATGTTATTTTTTTGGTTTCTTTTAAAAAAATTTTTTTATGAAATTTTTAAAATGACCTGAAAAAAAATATCAAGATTAACTATGTGTGTGTGAGATAATACATTAATACAAACAATAATAATTACTATGAGTTCCTAAACCGAATTTGTATGTATGTGTTACGTGTGTGTGTGCGTGTGTGTGTGTGTGTGCGTGGGCGTGTGTTCACTCGTACATACAAACACACAGTTTCCGTTATTCACGCTGTACTCTTTAGAAAAATAGTCGTTCGGTAAAATTTTAAATTTTTTGCAAGAAAATGAAATGCAGTGAAACGCAAATAATGGCTTAATGTAATTATTTCACCGATGAGGAAGAAATCAGGGTGAACATAGTGTATTAGCTGAGAAAGGAGAGAGAGAGAGAGAGAAGAGAGCAGACAGAATAGAATGAAAGGACAAAAAATTAGAAAGAAAGAGATAAAAAGAAAAATAGAGTGATGGAGAGCAAGAGGGAGAAAAAAATTTTTCTTTCATTTTATTTTTTCAGCCGTGTCTCTTCGACTCATTTGTATTTCAATTTTAGATTGTTTAAGACAACACGCTACTCTTCCAGCACCACCTATGTATGTACCTACTGTTAAGGGCAGTAGTACTCTTATACGAGTATCATAAAGAAAATATGTGGGAGTGGTATTGATTTACTGGAAATTAAGTAACATATCTGTGTTTAGATAACTAACAGAATGATTGTACTTTAGGTGTAAGTGCCAATTAAGAATAACGCACTTTAATTTAGGTGAAGTTTATGTATGCGAGCACTGGTAAGGACAAATGCACTTGTATGTACTTATGTTTGGGTACTACTGCACTAGCCTTTTAAAAATTTGACGCTTTTTTTCGTTAGGTTTGAAATTTTTAAATGAATTTTTGGGTGGTTTTATTTTGAAAAAAAAAACATTTGAACAACAACAGCAACAACAACAACAACTACTACTGCTACAACTTTAACAATAACAACAGCAACAACAACAACTACTACAACTTTAACAATATCAACATCATCAACAACAACCACGTCACTAGCAATAATACACCAAAAGAAATACTTGCGAAGAAAGCAAATAGAAATGGTAACAAGTTGTTACTTCCACAAAATTAGGCGCTAAACAAATTTCAACAAGAAAGCATGTATGAAAAAGCAACAAGAAAGCTACATAGAAACAGAATTTTAATTAGAAGCATAGACAACAGATTTTTTCTTTCAAGAAAAAAATTACGGAAAGCCGTACTAAATAACAATGACTGAAATTGTATTTAAATTGAGAAAACAGAAAAAAAAACAAAAAAGAAAACAATAAATAGCGTAATATAACATAGACAACATCAACAACAACGACATCATAGCAACACCAATAACAACAACGACATAGTCATCTCAGCAAAGAATCAGAAGTACAGCACACACACACAAACACACACACACATCCACTCACACACATCCACACATACATACATACATACATACATACATACATACATACATACATACATACATACATACATACATACATACACACACACACATACATACATACATACATACATACATACATATATACATACATACATACATACATACAATCAAACACACACACGTACATTTTGTTTTGGCGTGTTAGCCTGGTAATTAAAGTTTAGAACGGTAGAAACAAGAAAAAACCCAACGACATGATATCACGTCATAACATGATAAAAACAAAGAGCAATCAAATATTACTAACTTTTTTACACACACACACGCACACACGCACACACACACACACGTACACACAAACATGCGTGAATTATAAAACTATAATTTTTGAAAATTACAAACCTTATTTGAATTCCGTAAAATGTGTATTTCATGTTTTCTCAAAATTGTAAACTTGTATCTTTCCGTATCTCTTTGTATACATTTATGTATTTTTTGTACTTTTATTTGTATTTTTGTATATGTTTGTGAATCTTTGTTTTTGTGCAGTTTTTTTTATGTTATTTTTGGATTTGTGTTTGTTAATTTAACGACTCCGAAATAACCTGGCATAAAAACGTTAACAGATCCACTGATGATTGAAAACGAAGGTATTTAGCTGGTAATGATGATGAAGCTGCTGCTGCTACTACTACTACTAATACTACTACTACTGCTGCTGCTGTTGCTGCTGCTGCTGCTGTTACTGCTGCTGCTGATGATGATGAGGAGGAGGAAGAAGAGGAGAAAAAAAACAAAAAGCAAAGAAAATTAAATTAATTTAATGAAATGTTTTTGTTGTGAGTCTGGTGGCCATATTACCAGAATAACAGCTGACAGCAGCTATTAATGGCGAATGCAATGCTACAAAAATCGAGCTAAAGACGCCCAAACATTTTTTATTATTTACTTTGTATTTTTTTCTTGTATCTACAGTAATTTTTTGGGTTTTTTTTTAAGTTTTTTCTCTTTTTTTCTGGAATTGCTAAAGAGTGTACCAAAAAAATTTTTTTTTGTTCTCAAACAACGTTGGTGTAAAAAATTAGGTGGTTTCATTTGGATAATGTATTTTTTTTTATAAATTTTATGTTTTTTGTTATTGTTGTTTGTTTGTTTTTTGCTTGTTTCTTACTATTCGTTAATTGTTTTTTTTTGTTGTTCAAATTCAATTTAATTTTATTTTATTTAAAATACTTTCTAATGAATTGGACGGACGGATGTGAAGTCTGTAGGACGAAAGAAAGTTTGAGTTGGAAAAAAAATTACAAACCAAGTAAATAAAAATAATAAAATCGTCAACAACAGAAATAAAAATGAAAAAAGCGCGGGAAAAAACTCAAAAAACGCGGGAAACATTAAGCTGAAATATGGAAGCCCTTTTGTTTGAATGAGTTTGTTTTTTACTGAGTTACGATGATGATGACGACGACGATAATGATGACGATGAGGAGGAAGAAGACAACTATGAGATGATGATGACGATGGATTATAAAAATGGTAATGATGATGATGATGGTGATGATGAAGACGACGATCATCATCATCATCATCATCATCAGAAATTAAAAAAAATTGAAAAATTAACTTTCAAAATTTTTAAATTTAGAAAAAAATAATATTAGAAAAACAAAATAATAAGAAAAACAAAAATCAAATAATAAGAAAAACATCAGCAAAGAAAAATAATAACAGCCAGGGCGGAAAATGATGAAGCGCTGAATAGGTTCTTCAATATTCACACGTGTAAACGCCTAACCCAATAACTCTAGGACGTGTTGCTCTCGGAATCTCGTCATCGTCATCATCATCATCGTCATCATCATCATCATCTTCTTCTTCTTCTTCTTCATCATCATCATTATCATCATCATCAGCAGTAGTGTCGTGTGTACACATGCCTAGGTATATTGGAGTAAGTATATAGGCGTGTGTGTGTGTGTGTGTGTGTGTGTGTGTGTGTGTGTGTGTGTGTGTGTGTGTATGCTGGCATGATGTAAGAGTGTGTATATATATACTGGTGTGTGTGTTCATGTGAATGCTACAATATAAGTATCTGAATTTTGTGTGTATGTTGAAGTTTGTATATAGTTGTGTATGTTGGAGTTTGTATATAGGTGTGTTTTGAATGTTGGAGTTTGTATATTTGTGTGTCCGTTAGAATTTGTATATATGTGCGTATGTTGAAATTTGTATATAGGTGTGTTTTGTATGTTGAAGTTTGTATATTTGCGTGTGTGTTGGAGTTTGTATGTTTGTGAGTATGTATAAGGTGTGTATAGGTGTGTATGTATGAGGTGTGTATAGGTATGTATGTATGAGGTGTGTATAGGTATGTATGTGTGAGTGTGTATAGGTATGTATGTGTGAGTGTGTATAGGTATGTATGTGTGAGTGTGTATAGGTATGTATGTGTGAGTGTGTATAAGTGTGTATGTGTGAGTGTGCGTACGTGTGACAGTTGGAGACGAAAAAGAATGGGCTAGGGGAAGATCATGAATTATGTATCAAGGATGTCTTTTTCGTGTTAGCTCTCCGTGAGATGGTGCCGGCTTTTTTAATTTGTTGCTGTTGTTTTTGTTGCTGTTGTTGTTGATGTTGCTGCTACTGTTGTTGTTGTTGCTGCTGTTGATGTTGTTGTTGCTGCTGTTGTTGTTTTTGTTGTTGTTGTTATTGTTGTTGTTGTTGTTGTTAGTTAATATTGTAACTATTGTTATTGTTGTTGTTGATGTTTTTGTTTTGTTGTTGTTAGTTAATATTGTAATTATTATTATTATTGTTATTATTGTTGTTGTTGTTATTATTATTTATTATATGTTTTATTGTTGTTTGAATAATTGACAACGCAATATTTTTCTTAGCGATCTCTCCATTGTTGACGTCATTTTGTTGTCTCTGTAGTAGTAGTAGTAGTAGTAGTAGTAGTAGTAGTAGTAGTAGTAGTAGTAGTAGTAGTAGCAGCAGCAGTAGTAGTAGAAGGAGTAGCTGGTTGTTTTCGATAATTTTGACGATATTTCTGTGGTATTTGCTGTTGTTGTTATAAGACGGTAATTGTAATATTCGATGTTGTTGTTGATGATGATGGCGATGATGATGAGGATGATGATGATGATGATGACGGTGACGTCATTGTTTGTTTATTTTTATTTTTACTTTCACGTTGGGATTGTAGATTCATTAATTTATCGCGTTTTATTAATAAATGTATTGTTGCAGTAGTAGTAGTAGTAAGTAGTAGTAGTAGTAGTAGTAGTAGTAGGAGGAGGAGGAGTTGTAGTTGTTGTTGTTGTCATTCAATCAATCAATTATTTATTCACTCATTCGTATCTTATTCACAAATAACACCACACACCCATCAATCCACACACCTTAAACAACACACACACACACTCACACTCACACTCACACACACACTCACACAAACAAACAAACAAACGCTCGCACAAACAAGCACCCACACAAAAAACACTAACACACACACACACACATAAACACACAGTCGAAACAGTCCCCCGGATGTTAAGAATGTTGAGCCAAGGGGGGACCCTATATGCCCGTGTTGGGTCGAACGCCCACCTACAATGTTCCTTCACTGGTAATGGTTATGATTCGTTCAGAGCCCCAGTTCTGTGGTCCAAACGACAGCTATCTGATGACGTCATCGAAATTAATCACATGAGCCAAATTCAGTTGCCGTTCTTTCAAAGTGCCAGGTGTGTGTGTGTGTGTGTTGGAGTGTTTTTTGTGGAGTGTTTTTTGTGGAGTGTGTGCGTGTGTGTGTGTGCATGTATGTGTGTGCGCGTGCGTGTGTGTATGTGCGTGTGTGTGAGTGTATTGTGTGTGGTGTGGTGTGTGTGTAGCTGTGTGAGTGTGTAGCTGTGTGAGTGTGTTGTGTTGTGTGTGTGGTGTGTGTGCGTGTGTGTGTGTACGCTTATACTATAATTAATTTAATTAGATTTCTTGACTCTAATTATTAAAGATAATTCTAGGTATGCATCTAAGTGCCATACCTTTAATTTTTAAGAAGAGAATTTATAATCACATACAAACACACAACGTAATTATGTATTCATGGTATCATCATCATCATTATCGTCATCATCACCATCATCATCATCATCGTCATCATCACCACCATCGTCATCATCGTCGTCATCATCATCGTCGTCATCATCATCGTCGTCATCATCATCATCATCGTCACCACCATCATCATCGTCATCATCATCACCATCAAAGGTTTTCTATCAGTTTCACAAATAACTCGGCCAACACGTACTCAACGGACCTTGCAATCAGCGGTCAGTTTGTGAAGAGGACGACGACGACGATGATGATGATGATGGTGGTGGTGCTGATGATTATTGTTATAACTATTATTACTATAATTATTATTATCACCACTATAATTATTTTTGTTTTTTATTATTATTATTATTCAGAACTGAAGCCCACGGACACTGGCAATTACACATGTCAAGTAAAATGGCCGCGAGAGAATGTCCTCGTCCACTACGAACTCGTTGTCGTTGGTAGTAGTAGTAGTAGTAGATGTCGTAGCTGCTGTAGCTGCTATAGTTGTTGTAGTTGTTGTAGTAGATGTAGTAGCTGCTGTAGCTGCTGTAGCTGTAGTAGTTGTAGTAATTGTAGTAGATGTAGTAGCTGCTGTAGTTGTAATAGCTGCTGTAGTTGTATTAGTATTACTCTCTCTAGTATTAGCAGTCTAATCTATTTGATATTTATCGTTAAAGTTATGTTTACAAACATTTTCATCAAATCCTGTATTTATCTTACCATTTGTGTTAGTTAGTTTGTAAATTTCGTCTCGATCAGTATTCGAACCTGGTTACCAAGCCATTGTTTGTTGAAACGTAGATGCAAGACATGGCATTTTATCGTTTAAGCTACCGCTTTGTCCATTTTCTGAATATTTTGTTCAAAACAACATAATTTATAATAAAATATGATATAATAGTCTAGTTATTAATTGAATCAATCCACTAATGAACAAATCAATCAATCAATCAATCAATTGATTAATTAATTAATTAATTAATTAATTAATTAATCATTTAACCAAATAATCAATCATTCATCAAAATATTTTTTCAACCTCGGCCTTCCACAGTCCCGATAAAAAGCATTCAGCTGAGCGGCCCTGACATCAAATCTTCTCTTCAAGTACTCCGAACCACTCAGCACAATTCCGATAATGCAGTTTACGAAACGATATCTCGATACCGATACCGAAACCAGCATCACAACCATCACTTTTTAAATACGATTCCTTACTTTTATAGCAACAACATCATCAGCAGCAGCAACAACAACAACAAAAACAACAACAATGAGGTTGAAAGTATCAGCATCAACAACATCAACAGCAATCACATGTACAGCCAGCAACACCATCCTAACGTTAACAAGCATCGCCATAGCAACAAGCACGGCAACAATTTGCAGCATCAACAACATCATCTTCATCATCCATCCTACCCTCACCGCCAACAAAACAACATCATCAACAACAACAACATCAACAACAACAACAACATCAAAAACGACTTGGTCTTGGCGATTCGCGAGAAGGACGAAACTACAGTTACGTGCGAAGTCGTCAGCGGCTTCTTGATACCGGCAATATCGATATTCGTTAAAAACCGTAACATCACCGATCTATTCGAACGGAAGATCGTAAGAAACGTCGAGGGCCAAAGGCCGTTTCGCTTGATCTGGCATGTGATCACAATGACGTCACATAAATTGACGTTTCGCTACAGCGATGACGATTCCAATCTCATCTGCCAGGCGTGCGACTCTAGTATTATTAATAGAAGTAGTAGTAATAACAGTAGTAGTAGTAGTAGTAGAAGCAGTAATAGTAATAGTAGTAATAGTAATAGTAGTAATAGTGGTAGTAGTGGTAGTAGTAGCGGTAGTAGTAGTAGTAGTAGTAGTAGTAGAAATAGTCTTTTCAAGAATAAAAATAATCACGATCTTACCAATACTGAAAGTATAAATAGTAATATTAACAACAAAGGCGGTAGCAATGTTAGTAGTATTAGCGATGACAACTACATCGGCAGCAGCAGTAGAAGTAGTAGTAAGAGTAGTAACGGCAGTAGCGTTTCTAGCAGCAGTGGTAGTAGTAGTAGTAGTAGTAATGTTGGTTATCGTAACGTAAGTTATAATAGATTTGGGCTAGTAAAAAAATTTGGCAGTAACAGTATTAGAGGTAGTAGTAATGGTGGTAGTAGTGAAAGTTTTGTAAGTTATTTCAACAAAAATAAGCCGACAACACTTGAAGCCAACAATGTTGACAACAAAATTGACGACGACAACAGCAACAACAGCAACAGGCAAATTCGCCACAAAAACATTTTCGTTCCATCCAACCGAAGAACAAAGAAGCAGCAACAGAATAAAAAAGCTATCCTAATGAACGAGTGTAGTATCGTTAATGACGATGACGACGAAGATGAAGAAGAAGACGATGATGAAGAAGAAGAAGAAGAAGAAGATGATGATGAAGAAGAAGAAGATGATGGTGATGATGAAGAGGAGGGGAAGGAGGGGGAGGACAATAATCGGGGTGTCATCAAGAGATGCTCAGTTGACGTGCATGTTATTTGTTGGTTGAAATTTCTGGGGTTTTTTTTGTTTTTTATTTTTGTTGTTGTTGTCTTTGCTGTTTTTGTTGTTAATGTTGTTGGGTTGACGCTGTTGTACAGAGCACAACCAACCAAAATTCACCAACCAAACATTGACAACCAATAACAATCGACCAATCAAAACCAATCAGCCAATCAAATTTGCTAATCAAATTAAACCAACCAACCAAATTCAACCAACCAATCAAATTCAACCAGCCAATCAAATTCAACCGGCCAATCAAATTCAACCGGCCAATCAAACTCAACCAGCCAATTAAATTCAACCAGCCAATCAAATTTAACCAGCCAATCAAACTCAACCAGCCAATCAAATTCAACCAGCCAATCAAATTCAACCAGCCAATCAAATTCAACCATTCACAGACCGGCCAATAATTAACTGTTCCACAAAACACGCCCGCGCAAATCAAACTGACGTTCACCTCATCTGCCTAATTCGGTCTCGTCCTAATTTGGTGACCTTGAGGTGGGGTGTGGAAAGGGAATTCGAAGGGATGTACCTGGATAACAGTCGCGATAATTGGGGAAAGTATGGGTCTATCATCAAAGTGGGTTTTTGGTGTGTCACTTGATTTCGTGACGTAATATATCACGTGATGACGCTGTGATGATGGCATGTGAATTATTTATTTTGTGATGGGTGGGAAAGGTGGTGATGTCTTGATGTTATTTGGTGATGACGACGATGGCGACGTAGATGATGGTGACGAAGATGATGACGTAAAATATAATGAAAATGTTGAAACGCCAAAGAATTTTTGTTTAAAACTTCTCTCAAGATTTGTAGAAATGTCTTCGTAGGTCTTGCGATATGCCGATCAAATTTTTAGCTGGTTTTTTTTGGAAAGGTATCATTAAATAATAAAAGAGAAAATAAAATACATTTCCACTATAACAAACATTTTATAATAATAATAATAAAAATGATAATAATAATAATAGTGAGATGATAAGAAGAAGAAAAAAAAAGAATGAAAATAACAATAAAAACTGAAAAAGCCCATATGTGTTCAATCTAATATGAAATTACATATCTATCTGTTGTTTGCCAACAGGAATTTTTTAAAAACATATATGTATGTATGTATGTATGTATGTATGTATGTATGTATGTATGTATGTATGTATGTATGTATGTATGTATGTATGTATGTATGTATGTATGTATGTATGTATGTATGTATGTATGTATGTATGTATGTATGTATGTATGTATGTATGTTAAAACCAAAACATGATGAGTGACACTGAACCGTCAAACATCAAGTAACAAATGGATCAACACTTTGATTTGTCGTTAATTGCACATGTCGGCATTCAGTTGGATATTTTCAAGCACACAGACACGCAGGAACCGCTGCAACAAACACGAAATGTGGTTGGTTGCAAAAAACAGTTCCCTGCTGTCACCTGATCTGACACTGATCATTTTGCCTATTTCCTTTAGAAATTTAAGGGTGTTGGGGTCCATCGGGCCGAGAACCTCGATGCATATTGGCAAGAATTCCATCGAGGGGAGGGCATTCCCATATTTTTTCATTTTCTCGTCCGCTGCCCTGGCCGCGGCCAAACCGCATTCTTATGTATGTATGTATGTATGTGTGTGTATGTATGTTTGTTTGTATGTACGTATGTTAAAACCAAAACATGATGAGTGACACTGAACCGTTAAACATCAAGTAACAAATGGATTAACACTTTAATTTGTCGTTAATTGCACATGTCGGCATTCAGTTGGATATTTTCAAGCACACAGACACGCAGGAACCGCTGCAACAAGCACGAAATGTGGTTAGTTGCGAAAAACAGTTCCCTGCTGTCGCCTGATCTGACGCTGATCATTTTACATATTGCCTTAAGAAGATTAAGGATGTTGGGGTCCATCGGGCCGAAAACCTCGATACATATTGGCAAGAATTCCATCGACGGGAGGGCGTTCCCATATTTTTTCATTTTCTCGTCCGCTGCCCTGGCCGCGGCCAAACCGCATTCTTTACTTGTCAGGTTTACGTATCGTTTGGCGAGGGTGCCAGGGACCGTAACATCCCACGCCAATCGTTCGGCGAGGGTGCCAGGGACCGTAACATCCCACGCCAAACATCTGCCGGCTCTCCAAGGTATTAGTGTGCATCCGTCCGAGCGCCTACCATCATGCGCAGAAATGCCGGATGGTTCCTTGAGAACCGGGATTGAAGCCTTGGAGAAGAGCCGACAAATGTATTCGTTTAGCGCTGAGTGACGTAGTTGACGGCCCCCACCCAGGCGACAAACCAAACCGTGGTGCCCAAACTTGTCCGCCCCTGCGCCACATTGGCACGTGTATTTATTCTGAATGACCAGGTCAAGTCTGAAGCCAATGGCAAATCTCAAAGACTCGACCAAGGGTGTGCCTAAAAAACTCAGTTCTGATGCACCAACTCTGGGTATTCCAGCCAGCGCATGTGGCACCTGAAATAAACTTTGGCAGTGAAGTTCGCATTTTTTAATGTTTAACTCTAAACCAATTGCAGCGGAGTTATGCTTCAAATATTTGTAGCTATCGGCCAGAGTTGGGCCGTCCGAAGCAATGCTGATATCATCCAGATAAGCGCAAACGAAAGTGGACGAAGCTTTCTCTAAGAGGGGATGAAGAGTTAGTGCGAACAGCAAAGGACCAAGGGGATCACCCTGCTGTACCCTCTCGGACGATTCTACAACCCAAAAGTGGTAGCCAAGGGAAGAGACTCCGCCATAGGCAGAATGGCAAAAATTATAGATATTGGGGCAAAATAGTTTGACAGCCTCCAACATCGAGTTTCTTCTCAAGGCATTGAAGGCATTTTTAAAGTCCAGTTTCAAAAACCCCCATTGATCGGGGAGGTCGGTGACCAATCTTCGAACTGCATGAACAGCGGCCTCAGCGCCACCCTTAATCCCGACACCCAACTGAGTCGGGTAGAATTTGGTCTTGAGTTCGACCACGACCAGGGCCAAGGCACATTTGCCGGCCAAACGTTCCCGACCGCAATCGGTCTGACCCCTCCGTCTTTCTTATTTAAAGCTATTAGCCGGCCTCCAAAAAAGAACCGGCGGACGGAGAGTGGGCAAGCTCCAGATAGGATCAAATTAATGAATTGGGTTAAGGAGTTCAGTGTGTCGTCGATTGACAAGGGGCCTGAAAAAACATCCTTAAGGTGCTGGAGTCGTAGGCCATCCAGGCCTCCAGAAGAACCGTTTTTGAACGATTTAACGGCCCTCAGCACCTCGGTGGAAGAAACGCAACCAGCCGTTGGTGTCAATGCTGGAAAGACCCGCCTGTCCACCGGAGTTTTTGGGTGGATGGAACATAATTTATCGAAGGTGGCCGGCGAGCTCTCCGCCAGGCCCTCCAGCGAACAGACAAGTCTGACAGCCGAGGACAGGTTTCTCTGTTCAATACAAGATGACACAGCGTTGATCCACCGATCGGGGTTCTGCTTTTATATGTGCTTTTGTGTATGTATGTATGTATGTATGTATGTATGTATGTATGTATGTATGTATGTATGTATGTATGTTTGTTTGTTTGTTTGTATGTTTGTTTGTTTGTTTGTATGTTTGTATGTTTTTTAAACATAATTATTTATTTCTTTAATCGAAAAATTGCATGTTCAGGCGGCTCGATAAGCATTAACGTGCGTTTATCTTCCCACAAGTGATTATTATTATTATTATAACTATTATTATTATTGTTGTTGTTGTTGTTGGTGGTGGTGGTGGTGGTGGTGGTGGTGGTGTTGTTAGTGGTGGTGTTTGCGTAGAGATGTTCATTATGTTTGTTTAAATGATTCCTCTCATACCTGAGAGAGAGAGAGAGAGAGAAAGAGGGAGAGAGAAAGATAGAGAGAGAGAGAGAGAGAGAGAGAGATAGATTGAGAAAGTAAAAGATAAAGAGAGAGAGAAAGAAAAAAAGTGAAAGAGTGAGAGAAAGAGAGAGAGAACAAAAAAAGAGAGAGAAAGTCACAAAAAGAAAAAATTATAAGA